AGTTAGTTAGTAGTTAGTTAGTTAGTTAGTTAGTAGTTAGTAGTTAGTTAGTTAGTTAGTAGTTAGTTAGTTAGTTAGTTAGTTAGTTAGTTAGTTAGTTAGTTAGTTAGTAGTTAGTAGTTAGTTAGTTAGTTAGTTAGTTAGTTAGTTAGTTAGTTAGTTAGTTAGTTAGTTAGTTAGTAGTTAGTTAGTTAGTTAGTTAGTTAGTTAGTTAGTTAGTAGTTAGTTAGTTAGTTAGTTAGTTAGTTAGTTAGTTAGTTAGTAGTTAGTTAGTTAGTTAGTTAGTAGTTAGTTAGTTAGTTAGTTAGTTAGTAGTTAGTTAGTTAGTTAGTTAGTTAGTTAGTTAGTTATAGTTAGTAGTTAGTTAGTTAGTTAGTAGTAGTTAGTTAGTTAGTAGTTAGTTAGTTAGTTAGTTAGTTAGTTAGTTAGTTAGTTAGTTAGTTAGTTAGTTAGTTAGTTAGTTAGTTAGTTAGTTAGTAGTTAGTTAGTTAGTTAGTTAGTTAGTTAGTTAGTTAGTTAGTTAGTTAGTTAGTTAGTTAGTTAGTTAGTAGTTAGTTAGTTAGTAGTTAGTTAGTTAGTTAGTTAGTTAGTTAGTAGTTAGTTAGTTAGTTAGTTAGTTAGTTAGTTAGTTAGTTAGTTAGTTAGTTAGTTAGTTAGTTAGTTAGTTAGTTAGTAGTTAGTTAGTTAGTTAGTTAGTTAGTTAGTTAGTTAGTAGTTAGTTAGTTAGTTAGTTAGTTAGTTAGTTAGTTAGTTAGTTAGTTAGTTAGTTAGTTAGTTAGTTAGTTAGTTAGTTAGTTAGTTAGTTAGTTAGTTAGTTTTCCCAGGGTATCGATAGATAAGAGCGCATCACTAAAATCTCGGATTTGTGTTGTTTAGACTTCAGACACAATTACACCATTTTCTACAGGATTTTCTTTTTAAATAGAAAAAATATTTCAATTTATTTCCTACTTTACACAATGGTTTAATGCTTATTACAATACAAACTTTTTATCTCTAAACTGCAAAAGTTTTCCCATTGTTAAGTGACAGGATAATATTACTCAGTGTTTCTTTTACTGTATCCTTTTTTATATTTTTCTAAGAAAAAGTTTTTATAAAAAAGGATTATTATTATTTTATTTTGTTATTGCAGTTGTAGTTGTTTATTTAATTTTAAATACACATGTAATTGCTGACAACAACATTTATTTATTTATGTAGATACAATTTGATATTTATACTTTCACCCCTTAGCAACTATTATAGAGATTAAAGTTTACGATAAAGTTAGTAATATGTAAAAGATTAGAATTTAATATTTCATGTACTGGCTATCAGTTGTCTTTCCCAAAGATGGGGGTCCGAGGGAAATGAAATAAGAGTAGAAATAGTTTTAGCATAATACTTGGTACAATTTCAAAATTAAAATTTTCTACTTCTCTAGATATTTCGTCAGAGAGTATATTTCTCTAGTATCTCCCTGGCTGTTATATTGCCCCACATTTTAAAGCTTTACATTTAAGTTTACCTTTTTCAATTATAAAAACTTTTACAGGTCTGCGTATGCCTTGTGTATTTAAAATGCAAGCAATGACATGTTGTTGCTTGCAGATTTTATGCAAATCTTATATGTATCAAAAATGTATACTTTCGATTTAATATTTATAAAAGTGTATTTTATTATTTACAATCAAGCATTGTTTGCAAAAGTACAAAATCCTTACAGTAAATAATAAAATAATATATGTGTTTGTATGTATGTATAAATACTATTTCATTTATATTTTGTAAAGCAAACAAACAGTTGATGTTGATTCTTTACTATCAAAAGCAGTAGTAAAAACATAAAAACAAAATGGAGATAAACCGAAATGTATTAAATTGTAATAAAAACAGTAAAAGCCACAAGCAATTTGATGGGTTTTTCTTAATATTTTATTATTATTTTTTGGTAAAGAATATAAGTTTGACAACTCTTTAAATTGATTTATACTTTTATACTGCAATAAATTCCAATGCTAATAGAGTTCAAAAAGAACTACTTTATGCAAGATACCCTCACCTTTTCTTATTTAAAAGTTGAAATTTTAAAAATTAACACCTTGGTTTTTCCTTGTTATTTAACATAAATTATTTCTCACAATAAATTCAATTTAATTTACTATTACTTTGCACAATTTGCAATTAAAAAACTCATTATTTTTTAAATAAAATAAACTTTTATTTTTATGAAAAAAATATATATACAAATCAACAACAACCAAAAATAGATTAAAAATGTAAATTAATTTTCAAATAAACACAACTGAAAGCTAATGCCTTTCTTCTGTGTTGTGTGTTTTCATTTAATGTTTTTCACTCATTTTTATTGGCGGCACGTAGTCTGGTTTTGTAAAACAAAACAAAATGCAGACAAAAACACCCACATTGTGGTATCATTGAATTGTTAAATGATTTAATTAATTCGCTAAATAAGTAAAATACAAATTCAGAAATAATAATAATAATAATAAATTCTAATCAAAACAATTTGTCATGAAAATTTTTATTTAATTTATTGTTTAGGAGGCGTATAAGTGATATTGAACTTTATTTTTAATACTCATACGTCACCTGCTGAGTACACAGTTTTTCAAAAATTTCTCTAAAAATATGTTCTGGGTTAAAAAAAAAATCAATAAACTTTTTGTTTTATAGAAAATATTCAATAAATTTATATTTAGGGAAAATTTTATACTAAATTTTTCGTTTTATAGAAAATTTTCGACAAAATTTTCATTTTACAGAAATTTTGGGTTAATTTTTCGTTTTGATTAAAAAATTCTCATTTTATAGAAAATTTTCCATAAAAAAAATTTTTCTTTTTATAGAAAATTTTCCATAAAAAAAATTTTTCTTTTTATAGAAAATTTTCCATAAAAAAAATTTTTCTTTTTATAGAAAATTTTCGATAAAATTTTTCTTTTTATAGAAAATTTTCGATAAAATTTTTCTTTTTATAGAAAATTTTCGATAAAATTTTCATTTTATAGAAAATTTTCGATAAAATTTTCATTTTATAGAAAATTTTCGATAAAATTTTCTTTTTAACTAAATTTTCGATAAAATTTTCCTTTTATACAAAATTTTCGATAAAATTTTCTTTTTATAGAAAATTTTCGATAAAATTTTCTTTTTATAGAAAATTTTCGATAAAATTTTCTTTTTATAGAAAATTTTCGATAAAATTTTCTTTTTATAGAAAATTTTCGATAAATTTTCTTTTTATAGAAAATTTTCGATACATTTTCTTTTTATATAGAAAATTTTCGATAAATTTTCTTTTTATAGAAAATTTTCGATGAATTTTCTTTTTATAGAAAATTTTCGATAAATTTTCTTTTTATAGAAAATTTTCGATAAATTTTCTTTTTATAGAAAATTTTCGATAAATTTTCTTTTTATAGAAAATTTTCGATAAATTTTCTTTTTATAGAAAATTTTCGATAAATTTTCTTTTTATAGAAAATTTTCGATAAATTTTCTTTTTATAGAAAATTTTCGATAAATTTTCTTTTTATAGAAAATTTTCGATAAATTTTCTTTTTATAGAAAATTTTCGATAAATTTTCTTTTTATAGAAAATTTTCGATAAATTTTCTTTTTATAGAAAATTTTCGATAAATTTTCTTTTTATAGAAAATTTTCGATAAATTTTCTTTTTATAGAAAATTTTCGATAAATTTTCTTTTTATAGAAAATAAATTTTCTTTTTATAGAAAATTTTCGATAAAATTTTACTTTTTATAGAAAATTTTCGATAAAATTTTACTTTTTATAGAAAATTTTCGATAAAATTTTACTTTTTATAGAAAATTTTCGATAAAATTTTACTTTTTATAGAAAATTTTCGATAAAATTTTACTTTTTATAGAAAATTTTCGATAAAATTTTACTTTTTATAGAAAATTTTCGATAAAATTTTACTTTTTATAGAAAATTTTCGATAAAATTTTACTTTTTATAGAAAATTTTCGATAAAATTTTACTTTTTATAGAAAATTTTCGATAAAATTTCCCTTTTTATAGAAAATTTTCGATAAAATTTCCCTTTTTATAGAAAATTTTCGATAAAATTTTACTTTTTATAGAAAATTTTCGATAAAATTTCCCTTTTTATAGAAAATTTTCGATAAAATTTCCCTTTTTATAGAAAATTTTCGATAAAATTTCCCTTTTTATAGAAAATTTTCGATAAAATTTCCCTTTTTATAGAAAATTTTCGATAAAATTTCCCTTTTTATAGAAAATTTTCGATAAAATTTCCCTTTTTATAGAAAATTTTCGATAAAATTTCCCTTTTTATTTCGATAAAATTTTCCTTTTATAGAAAATTTTCGATAAAATTTTACATATTATATAAAATGTTCGATAAAATTTTCCCTATTATAGAAAAATTTCGATAAAATTTTCTTTTTATAGAAATGTTTCGATAAAATTTCCTTTTTATAGAGAATGTTCGATAAAATTTTCTTTTTTTAGAAAAATTTTCGATAAAATTTTCTTTTTTTAGAAAAATTTTAGATAAAATTTTAATTTATTTAGAAAAAATTTCCATAAAATGTTCGTTTTTTATAAAAAATTTCGCTTAATATTGTATCAGTTTTCCCAACAAAAACTCTTGTTCGAAAACATATTTAATTTTTACTTTGCCAAAACAGATTCATTCAATTTATTTCAACATTCGCTTGAATTTCAACAATTCCTAGCAATTTACCACAATTTTAAAAACATAAAATAAAACCCCAAAAAACTTTAAGCCACAAAAATATCACACGAATTGCATTTCATGCAAACTACAAACATGCCAACAACAAAAACACAAAACAAATTGAAAAAATAAATTTATTTATTGCAACTAAAAGAATAAAAAATACTATATTTTTCATTAAATTCCTTAAACCTCTCTTTTTAATCTTTTATATATTTAATTATTTTTTATTTGTTTGTTTGTTTTTTCTCGTTTTTCTTGTCAACAGTTGACAGTCGTCATTTAAAAGAGTCTATAGAACGTGCAGAATTTTCATTACAACTTGAATTGTGGTTTGCTGAACAGAATGGTTCTGCCTCGAATTTATCCTTGGCATCAACGCGTACATTACAACTTAACTTTCATCCAGGACGTGGTTTACACTATCACTTGCCCGTATTATTTGATTATTTTCACTTGGCTGCCGTAAGTGTGGGCATACATGCAAGTTTGGTGGCATTGCATCAGCCATATATCAAGTAAGTAGTAAATAGAAAAAGCAAATCATCTACATCCCTATAGCAAGAACTACTGAATATCTGTATAGAGGAAAACAAAGTGCATTCATAAAAGCAACAAAAACAAACATGAAAAGTTGGTGCAATTTTTTTTAAGACTATAACTAACTAACAACCATCAGCTTATGTCACGAAGAGTGGTAGTAAACAAATTTTTAGTTAGTTGATGGTGGTGTTGCACATGCAACAGTATAAGTATGATGCCTTCAACAGCAAGTATCCTTTTACACTCACCTATTCATACATATTCATAATGTCATTCTATTCAGCGTTTTTGTGCAGAACAATATAAAAAGACTTTACAACACAAAGATTGCAAGAGCAAGCCTTCATTTTGTTTTTCTATGCTGTTGAAAACTGGTATTTGAATAAAATTATGATGTTAATGATGGTGATGACGTCCACGGCGATGATGATGATGATCTTTAATGTGAATGAAGCCTAAAGTATATAATGCACTTGCTATGAAATCATATTATCAACACAACAGTAAATTCAAAATAAAACCACAACATACATATACATATGTTGTCTGTATACAGACTGGAATATGGTAAAACAAAGAATGTTGAAAACATTGTTCCGTATTCTTGTTCGAAAATATTATTAAAGCCTCTTACACCAAATGGTAGAGGTATGCATAGTTAATCATTTCATTGGTGACAAGTCTAGCTTTTAGTTTTAGACTAAACTGCCCTAAAATTGCCCTTTTATGGTAGTAACTTTTCACTCGAAGTTCTAAGACATTCCAGGCTGAATCCAAGAACTTTCCTGGCAACCTTCCAATGTCCTCAAAGAAATATATGTCATTATATTTGAGGTCGAAACTTCCTTAACTTAGACATATAGCTGCAATAAAATTCGAATGATGATCTGATATTCTTTGTAAATATAAGTAGTTCATAATATAGGATGTTTTATAATAAGACCTGATAGATATCGAAATGAAATTTTAAAAACTTATATAGTGGTTAGTTCCTTGACCGCAAACAAGTTAGTTTCATCAAGTAGATGTTTCATTTGCAAACAGACCTTTACGGTTTTGAGGCAATTTAATATCGAAATTTTTGTCGCAGTTCCACCTCTCTTCTCTATTGTATTGACTGTTGTCAATATTGAGCAGTCATCGAAGTATGGAATTATTAGAATGCTTTTCGAGGGTTTAGACTACCTGTTGAAATGTTGGAATCTTTGAAATGTCATTGAAACGAAGCTTCCTAACGCTACTTCTTTTCGTCAATCTCGAACAGCTCTTAGAGTGGGATCTGATATACTCGTGGAAGATTATCGCGACCTTATTAACCGTCACTGCTGTGTTCAACAGAAACCTGACTGTAGACCATAGTATTCAGGCTCCGGATGTAAGGTTGAAGGTATGAAGTTGACCCATTACCTCTGCTTGTTTTAAATCACCAACTTGCTGATCTCCAGGTAAAATTGCTAGGGTTTTACCAATTCTACCGCTGGATGCTGGGGAATTTTGTCTAATCAGCAAGATATAGAATCAGCTACAGCTATGAGAAGGATTCTGCGGGATTACCTTTTCTGCGAAGCCCACGTCAGAAGGGACAAATTCCTCTTTGACGCGTATTCCTTTTTCTGTTTTTGTTCGACGTTCGGAGTCGATAAAGTTGTTCAGATTGAGGCACCACTATGCAAAACGTGAACTTGTAAATTATTTCCAGGATCGATGGCAAGAAATCGTGATGGATATAAAACTTGTCAATTATGTCCTGGCCATCTTCTTCTAGTATAGTTAAATTTCGTTTTTTATCCTTGAATGATTGCGAAAGATTTGAAGTTCAATGATCATCGTCCAAAAATTGTCAACTCTATTAAGAATCTCTATTTCATCGTTCGCTGTATGACACAAAACCCAATCTACTGGATACTCATTAAATAATATATACCATTTAGGATCTAATCCTTCGATCTAAAAGGTCTAATTTTCAATCGTAAATATGCATTATGTATTTCAGAAACTGATATTATACGATTATTTAGTTCTACTAATAAACTTCTCGGCCGATCAACTACTTGTTTTAAGTATTTTATTAGTACAGAGTAAGAGTCCTTGTCCTCGTTTTTCCATAAAGCTGGCATTCGTCTTATCGTGGCTTGGGTTCTAGACCTTATTATATAATGTCTAGATCGTACGACTTTCAACAACATTAGCGACTTTATTTTATAGTATTTTATCCCCTATTGCACAAACTCCGAAACCGTCTAAACAAAAACTTTGACTTCTGACTTTATATTTTGTCCTCCATTATTAACACATCAGCCAGACATATGAAACTCACATTCTTTGAAATTCCTAAAAATTAAAACATTTCCCAGAACTTATGAAATATGTTAGAAATTCAACCGAACTCAACATTCTTAGAAATCTTTGAAAACCACCATCAAATTGTTTTACTAAACAACAAAAATCCACTAGGGACATTGACCATTAATTAATTTGTTTTCAAAGAAACCATACGACTTAACCTTGAATTTTTTTAACGCCATTTACTTTTTGAGAAAGACTAAAGGTAATTCTAGAAAAAAAAATTGCTATATTTTATAGAGAAAACATCATAATACGAAAATTCCATTTGACTGTAGGCGTACTGAGGATTTAATGTCAGTCACCGTATTAATGCTGTTTGTACTTACATGATTATTATGATTAAAATCTCTTTCATTTGAGATTTATTAAGTTTGAAATTAATTAAGTGAAAATTATTATGAAAATAATAATTATTTTAACGATGAAAAACAATGAACTGTGTGTGAGTTATGATGTCTGGCTGCAGTTAACAGACTAGGTGGGGTAAAAGTTAAATTTCAAGAAATATTTAATAAATTGTGTATTAAGTTTGTTAAAATTGATATAAAGAAGAAGTTCGTAAATTGTAAGCAAAGGAATCTAAAATTCATATTTACAAGGCATTAAAGATAACTTGTCTTGCTTTTACAGACCCGACAAACCTTTCGGAATTATAATTTACTCTCTAAATAAGAAATCAAACAAATCTTCATCTTCAAGATCAAAATCGGAAAGAAAAACTTAAAAAAATCGATTATTTACGTGTTACAAAAGTGCTTCGCCAAATTAGGCGTATACTTAATATTTGCAATATCAATAAATCAAAAACACGTATACGTATAGCTGTCGTCAATAAAAGCAGTGCAATTTCACAATGTAAAACTTTCCACTTGAAATAGAACAAGTAAGAGTGTTACATTTGGCTGTGCCTGATCTTATATTCCCCACACAAATACTCAAAGTTGTTGTTGTTGTTTCCAGTAGTTATAAACAAGCAAACACAACGTACTAACAAACAATCACAATCAGAAAATTGTTGTTGTTTTCATACATCTGCATGCAAAAAAGGTTGTCTCGGATTTTTGCTCATATCTTCGTTATTTATGAACCGATTTTGCTGATTTTAAATATTAAACTTCTCGAAAGTATGTCTGTCAGAATTATTGAAGATTTCGATCCCAAAGATATCTGTAGTCTTCTGAAAATTGATTTCAATAGACGGACGGCAAGTAGACAGACAGACAGGCAGAAAGACAGACAGACAGACAGACATACGAACATGGCTTAATCCACTCCGCTATCTATAAGGATCCAAACTTAATAAGGTCGGAAAAAGCAGAAGCAGACAGATATACGAACATGGCTTAATCCACTCTGCTATCTATAAGGATCCAAATTTAATAGGGTCGGAAAAATATATTGTAGAAATTACAAACGAAATGACAAACTTCTCACGAAGGTGAAGGGTATAAAAATGAAGATGAAGTTTTTTTGATTTTATATGTTTACAATTATTGTGCTTTATGACAACAGTTACAACTTTGCATCAGAAAGTAAATCAAAATTTTGACCGGTTTCCAAGATATGAGCCTTAGATCAATTTTTCATCACTTTTTTGCAAAAATGACACCATTAAAAAGGTGCCTGGCTTTGGGTAAAACTAATAGAATTACAGCATAAGCCTTTTATAGATAAAGATGCATACATATATGTATGTACACTTGGTACCAAATTGACACCAAAGAGTTTATAATTTTTGAATAACAACAAATTGACAGCGCAACGTTGTGAACATTGCAACAGTTCGTTTTCGAAATCTAAATTTTATACAAATCCGTTGTCTAAATGTTAACAAACGTGGTAAGCTCACTATTGCCAACGGATTATTTGTCAATAGTGAGCTTACCATGTTTGTTAACATTTAGACAACGGATGTGTATAAATTTAGATTTCGACAACGAATTGTTGAAATGTTGTCAACATTACATAGTGTTGGCGTACGTATGTATATACTTGGACAACGGATGGTATAAAAAAATTATAAACAGTTTGGTGTCAATTTGGTACCAAGCGTGTATATTTCTTTTTCCCTCTGTGTGTGTATCTAAAAATCTCTAAACTATCTCTGCATCAGTTTTACTGATTTAAAATCTTCAGTCACCAGTCAATACATCAGTTAAACGTGTTGAAAAACACTTCCTTTCATCATTTTCACGATACAAACACAGCTATACAATACATATAAGAAATCTATGTTACTTTTACAGAATTCAACAGCCACGTCCAAAACTACAGGTCATTTTACCACCACATTTTATTTTATCATGGAATTTTAAATTGTCACAATTTTTTTGTCGTCAGCATCGTGAAAAGTTTGTATAAAACAAATACTTTCTGTTTTCACTCATGTTTTCATTAATATAACTATTTTTTTTTTGCTAGACAAACTCCATGTATACTACAAATACATACATACATACATATGTTGTTTCACCTAAATATATTCATATTTTTAACTTACATGTGTAAATAAAAACTTGTACTAATAAAATGAAAAGCTTGCTATTAACAAGCAAGACCTCTGTATAGTGTAGAGCTTGTGTCAATGTCAATTAAGTTAGAAAAAAACAACAAAGGTGCCATAGCTAAAGGCCTGTCCAAGAGAGCAAATACAACCCTGTCCCGAAAAAACAGTATAACAAATATGCCGTAAGTTATAACTGTTAACGGGATACTGTTATAGTAAGTAGTTCTAGAATATGAACGCTTCAACTAAAGTATAAATTGCTTCTAAGGGAGGCATGAATTTACGTTTGCCAAAAGGGAAGTATGCCATAAGTTAACATCAAATATTTCCAAAAACTATCTGATAAGCAGAAGATTCACCTAAGATACACCCAATGAAAAGTTACTAACTATAAAAAAAACTTTGTTTATAATGGAACTCTCTGCTTCAATAAAATTCTACTATTTTATTCGAACTAGATTCAATTTATCGAAAGCTTATTCTCTACAATCAGTTTTCTGATTTTCACCTTAACTTTCATCTTGGAAATTCCTAGATTTATTTACCTTTCAAAATGTCACCTATTGGCATACCTTCCCCGTATAAACTTACTTTTTACATTTAAAACAAAAATTGTGCTTTAACTAAAAAAAGTGTGTAAATAATAATTGTAGAATATTGCTCAAGTATCGCTACACTATTTACTCAACAAACTTAACTTATTCTACTTTTTTAACAAAGACTATAAATAACATTTTTATTACATTTTATGTAAAATAATATTTATACAGTATATTATTACATTCGTTTAATTGAAAAGTTAAGAGAAAATTTAAATCTTTCTTTTGGATTTATATAAATTTATATAAGATTTTTAAGTAAAGAAATATGTAAATGCATTTTAAATTTAGTTTTTGAAATTATATGTAAAATGTTAAGGTAAAACATTAGAGTAGTTTGAGTCTTTTTGCTTATAAGTTGGAAAAGTGCAGGTTCGATTCCCGACATCAATTCTAAAACCGACTCACTGTGATCTCTAAAGTGATTAACTTTTTACCCGGAAATGATCTACATTGATCCATCATAAAACTCTAGTGGTTATTTCCGATATAGAATCGAAATATCCGCTAAGTCATCCACAAATTAACTTCAGAAAGAAACTAACAACCCTGGAAAGAGGACATTTCCTTTTCGTCCTTATTATGGCAACAAACTATATCTATTTTTAAAGCGTGATATATAAACATGTTTTCTTTACCCTTAATATAGTTGGTTCTTTTAGTATAGATTTCGAGAGATTCATTCAGATGGCCCATTCATGGTTCTTTGAGTTTATCGTGTTCCATTACGAATGGATTCCATTTAGATCTATTCGTTGTTTCCAAGTTTTGTTTCGTTTAGCTGCTTCCTTTTCTGCCTATCCACGACTTTCTTGGGCATTCCATTTAATAGTAATGAAGCCCTCTGCTTTTCCTAAGGTATGTCCAATCCATTGACTCCCTCAAGCTTTGTTTTGGGATAGTATCAGGTCAAATATTCTCAAGATTTTCTAACAGACCGCGTTTCACAAGGACCTGAACTTCATTTATAACCTTAGTTGCAGCGCTCCATGACTCACAATCCTATTTAACTTGATCTTCAGCGATATATATATATATACATTTTGAACGCCATATATATTTGAGACCCCAAAGGATTGATCGCTAGAATTCATCCTGCCCTTTTCAGCTGTACTGGAGCTACCAGACGATGTCAGAAGGTTGCCGAGGTAAAGAAAAAGACACGCTTAGCAATCTTGTGTTGTTGATATCGAAGGCAGATGTATTGGTGTTATTTACACATAACCTTCGTCTTTCCAAAGTTGATTTTTAGGCCGCTTCCACCTGTACCGCGTTATATTTCTCTTGCTCGTTATTATATCTATCGCGCCTGTAGAAACCTTAGGTTATCCGTCTGCAATACCGTCTAAAGCCAGGGCCCAAATTACGGTATACGATATCGATCGAAATCTCAATAGAATCTAAATGGAGATTTCGATCGATATCGTATGCCATAATTTGGGCCCAGCTTTGACGTTGATAGCCCGATTTTAGAAGGCTTGTTTGCTGAGTTTATAAGCAATTATTTGGTCGCGAAATCGGCAGACAGCTAATGAAGAATGCATATTTCGTAAAGCATCCTGATCATATAATTTCTGAACTTAATCACATTCTAGAAAGTTCCCATAGTAGATATTAGTTAGAATTTTACCTATCTCTAACTCTTCAGTTTAATATACAAAACATTTTCATAGAGACAAAAACTTCTTAACAACTTATATAAGAATGTTATATGTAAGACCTCTAAATCCATGCCAGGTATAACCATGTCTACAGATTAAAATAGTATATGTACGTAATCTAAGAATATATCCTTAATACTTTTATATAAAGACTTAAATTTGTTAATACTATTCATAACTAGAGTTTGTTATAACAATTTGAAATATGTATTTTATATAAGAATATTATTTTATTATTTATTATCCAACACTCATAATATAACATACACTAAAAACAACATAAACCTAATTATTGTTATTTTCTTTTACATTTCAAATCATCATCTACATGACATTCATCATTCTCGTTTCATATAACAACAACAACTACTACTACTATTACTCCCTGCAACTGACCTAAAAACCCCTTTTTTTAATTTTTCCTCTTTTCTTTTATTTGGTTGCTTTGGTTTCTTAATTTTTGGTTCATTTATTACAACAACTTGCATTACGTATGTATGTTCAAACGTACTCTATGATTACTCTTTCCAAATGTCCATCCATAATTCCACATGAAAGGAAAACACTTTTCCATTATTTAAGACGATGGTAAGAAGCATCCATATTAAATTTACCATATATTTTTTTTTTCATATTACAACACTTATAAAGTAGCAATAATGTAATGTGTAGTTAACACCATTTGTTAGTTAGTTTTATTTTATCCTTTATTTTTATAATTTCTGACAAGATAATTTGTTAGTTAATCGAAAATCATGTAGTTTGTACACATTTATTGTTTTAGTTGAATGAAAGACTACACCATTTTCAAGTGAATTTTGAAATATTAGTTATCTATAATTCAATAAAACCAAAAGCTGATCTTATAAAATCGAAGGTTAGTCTTTTGAAATCAATTTCATAACTAGCGATCGTTAAACCCAGAGAAACCTCACAAGTGATTTTGTTAAATTTCGCTAAAATATAAACTTAGCAGCTCTAGTAAGATCATTACTACAATTACCGATCACTACCGTTCCAGTGCATTCTCGTAAGCGATCATATAATGAAAACTCAGTAATTTACCGATCGAGAAGCCTTAAAATCTATCATATGCAGATCTCTTATTTTAAATTAAGAATTAAACATCTCATAGCTTAAACAAGATCGTATATTAGAGACAGAAATAATCGTGAACTGCGAGATATTGATCTCAGATAAAAGTGGAACATTAGAGCAAAGCGTTTTACGGTTGGCTCCAACTAATAGATAAATTGGGCCTAAGCAACTTCACTAAAAACTCGGAAACTAATATATACAACCGTCTACAAGATCAGAACACTAGTTTCCAGAAGGAAGTCCATGCTTTCACGAAATATGGCAAATGTTTTAGATTGATTTTGACGCCAACAGTTGTTAACATACTTCTACGGACTTATTTGCTGATAAGATTAAGACCATATTGGACTGTAGTAGAGCCTTAAAAGAATACTCTAATGGTAAACTATGTATCTAATAAGCATCAAGCTTCTCGGCGATAATCGTCAATGAAAAACTTGCTATAAAGCGAATAGAACTAGAGGAAATTAGCCTTACTCATGCAAACTTATTCGCCGTGATGAGAGCGGAACATGGGCAAGTGAATACCGCAAAGCCACATGAAATACTTAATGGACGGGAGGTAGTACCAAAACGATCCTATGAGGAAATACGTTGTTTGTATGGTGGCATATATTGTAACTGGAAACCCAGAATTACCAGAATTTAGAAAATGCTGAGAGGATAGTGAAACGCTGAAAATCGTTCGCTATCATTGTTAGCCTTTAATCGAAATTAAAGGTTGTATGATGTATTCCTCCGGGCTCTGAGAAAAGCGATATTCTGAAACCCTTCCTCTGTCATTAACAGGTTACGTTGAACTGGATTTAAATTTCTTAGGAGTGATGTTATATCAGATATTACATCACTGATTATATCCTGGAAATTAAATTACAGAACTTCAGACGAAAATTCCAATGATCGTTTTACCAAAATTTGCCATGTAAAAGATAGAAAAGCAGACCCAATAACGGCCTATGTGTATTTAATTACATCTGGTATAGTAATCTAACCTAAGCATGAACTTAGGCTTTTTATCACAACTATTAAGGACATCATTTCAGAACTGATACTTTTTGAATTTCCCTTGAAAATGGTGTAGCGAATTAGAGTAATTTTAGCTGATCTGTTTCCTAATCTGAACTTTATTAACACTAATTTCATAAATTTGCAATTTATATTTTTAGTGCACCCAAGAATTCAAAACCCTGGTTAAGTACGGGCAAACTAAGTTGTCGCGGTAGTATGTCGCCAGGACCTTTAGAAGCTGTATTCTTTGGTCCCCAAGTAGTGGGTACTACAAAATGTAGTGGTGGTCCGGCTGGTCGTCTTTTACAATCCCGCCAATTACATCGTGAGATATGTAGTTTACTACTGGGAGCTATAGAGCAGTTGAAAATATCCTTAAATGAATTCAGTAATGTACTCCCACCGAATATAAATACACAAATAGGTTCACCACCGTTTCGGGAAAATGATACTAATGATAGAATGCTTAAGCTAATGGAGCAAGCTAAGGTAAGTTAACCTTATAACTAAGAAATTCGTTTTTTTTTTAACATTTTTCCACATTTATAGAATCATGACTCCGAAGAGGATTTCGCCATTAAAGCCAATTCGGATATAGCACAATTGTGTGCCGAATGTATAATGTTTTGGCGTCGAGTCTTAATCGCCTCTACTCAACCGTCTGTGCATACGTTATTGGCCAAAAAGCATCATATTCTTAGAGTACGCAGATTTTCCGAAGGTTTCTTTGTTATGGAAAATCCCCGTCATACGGCAGCTGGTTGTTATGATAGTAATTATCAGAATTACATAGCCATATCGGAAATGGCTAGACGAAGTCGTTATATGCAAACTTTGCCACCTTTGCCAGTCCATTGTACACCGATTGATGGTGACACCAATTCTATGCCACTTATCTTTGAAGATCGTTATATAGAGCCTAGTAAATTTACACGCAAGCGTACAGGGTCCGATCCCAACTTAAATCGTGTAGATATTCCCGTAAATGGTAAAGTCAAAGGTGCAACAGATAAGCCAGTGCCCGCAGCGAGAAAACAAACTAATAAAGAATGTTCTTGTGGGGTGGCCTATGATTATCCCTTAAAGAACAATGGTGTAACTGGAGTGTTAACGCCACGCTTTGCTTTGGGTGGTGAGATTTTGCAAGCAAGTTTAACTATCGCGCCCACGGCAGCCAGTAAAGGACCCAATCCTACCATGAGCCACCGTTACATGTCGCGACATTCGGTTAATGGTTTATTAGATGAAATCGAAGTTGATAATGGTACCTCAAATGGTTTCTGTGAACTCGGTAGTGCTGGCACTTTGCCAGCCAGACATAGCAAGTCTTTGGATCAGCTCGATGGCACTGTTCACAGTACACCTTCCCTGCGAACCCAAAATACCTTAGCTTATCCCGCTAAATTATCAGAGACCGAGTTAAGGCAATATTCTTTGTATAGTTCGGTACAGAAAGGACCATCCTTTAAAGGTTTTGGTCTCAATAGTAATCGTAAGCCCAAAGTACAAGCAGAAGATCTCATGCGCAATATCAATGAATTCAGGCAAAAATATAAAAATGTCGAGGAAAATAACAAAGACTGTGAGCCCTTAACCAATGGCAATCATTCGAAGTTTTATGGTCCTACTAATGCAGCCACATTAGGTCGACAACCATTGGAACATGGCATGTCAGCCAGCAAATATGATTATCTCCATGAGATCAAATTATTAAATCCACCCAAAAAAGTGGTAGAACGGCAACGTACTTACTACAATTCTCTGCCAAAAAGCATAACAAATGGAGAAATTGTGCCACGTCCATCGTATACACCCAATAGGACACTGCCACAAAATGGTCCAGCAACTCAGCCCATTGTGTGGCCTCAACAGATTGTTATATCACGCAGTAATTCTTCGCAAGCCTTAAAACAGAATGTTAACAGGGAAATGGAACCGAATACCACATCCACCATACCCAGATCAGTGGAAATAGCCCGTGTTAGAGTATCGGACCTTAAAGAAATGCTTAAGAATGGTACACTGCAAAAAGAATCCAGTAGTTCGGAAAGTGATATTCCCTCCAAGGTAAAGAAGTCGAAGGCAGAACAGAAAATGCTGTCCTCAGCCAGTGTGCCCTTTAAACTGGACTCAACTTCAGGTGATCAAGATCAAACAACTAGTGGTTTCAGTGAGTCCTTGCCCAATTTGGCGCCTCCTCATCAATTCACCACCGAGGGAGTATTAAGTGACTCCACATCATCGTTAAGCGAAGAAAGCGGTTGGGTATCGAGTCGACGCAGCTCTATTATACCCTCTAGTCCGGAGACTATTTTAAAACAGACCCAAACTAAACAAACAAGTGAATTAGAAACTCGTCTCAATGGCGAACAACTCAGATTGAAATTGCAAAAACTTTTAGAGCAACAAAATAAAACTAAAAAGCTTAAAGAGAATCGTTGTAATACAAAAACTTTAATGAACAGCACTGAAGGAGGTGTCAACAAAAAGGTCACCACGGTAACAGTCAAAGTTAAAACTGAGCGTTTAAAATCGGAACTAAGACGTAATCTAAGGAATATACCCTACAATGAATCGACGGAAGTGGAGGATTCTGATATGTCACTCATACAGACCCAAAGAAGAGAACGACATCGACGCACGGAAAAATCTAAATCAGATTTTGATTTGACCAGCATTAAGGAGACAACAGGCTCCATAATAAATGTAAGAGTACCGCCACCGCAACAATTTCAAGATGATCTTCTGCCGCCGGATGAATTTAGAGATCCTCCCGTAACTAATGAAAATCAAACAAAGAAATCTTTACAACTAAAACCTAAACACACTACAAATCCCTCGACTAGTATAACAACGCCCGTAACATTTAACACGGAAACGTATCAGAATCTAACACAACATTCGTCACCATCAATTGTAGTGCCACCAGCACCACCGCCTCCCTTAAAGGAGATACCACAACACTCGCTGAATCTAAGGACTCCCATTGCGGCCATCGATAATCCGGTGTATCACATCTATGAGTCCATGAAACCTATAACAGCTGCCAATATATTCACCAACAAACCAGTAGTTAGATCTCATAGCATCATCGAAATGAAAAGACCCAAAGATTTTGGCAATGCCATTGTAAAAACTGCCGTTATAACCAATACTACTAGATCAAATCGTTCTACACCCAATGGTTCCAGTAAAATCTCACAAAACTCTCAAAGCCAACCGGCCTCGTTGGACAATACCGAAGATGAGAATAAGGAAAATTCAAATACCACTACCAGCAACAGTAATACACAAACAGCGATTACCCGTTCGAGTAGCACTAAATCGCACAAATCGAAAAATAAAGGTCCCGAATGTAACATATCCCTAATGGAATTCGAAAAATATCGTGAAGAATTTCGCAAACAATTGAAATACAGTGGCAGCATTTATTCAGACTTTACACGTCTATCATCTGAACTACCCTATTTCTATATAAGCGATGAATATAGAGCCTTCTCACCCAATGGCATGCATTTAATCATATGTGTTCATGGTTTAGATGGTAATTCGGCTGATTTGCGTTTGGTGCGCACATATTTGGAATTGGGTTTACCCGGTGCTAATTTAGAGTTTTTAATGTCGGAACGTAATCAGGGTGATACATTTTCCGATTTCGATACAATGACTGATAGGTAAGGAAAATTGTGTATTCTCGATGTTATAGAGGAGAAGTTGATGTTTTCTTTTTTTTTCTTTATTTTAGACTTGTTGCTGAAATTTTATATCATATCGAAACCTGTGGACTTAATCCTACGCGCATTTCTTTTGTAGCACACTCTTTGGGAACAATTATTGTACGCAGCGCTTTGGCACGACCACAAATGCGTTCATTATTGCCACGCCTGCATACATTCCTATCGTTGTCGGGACCTCATTTGGGTACATTATATAATACGAGCGGACTTGTTAATATGGGTAAGTAGAAAGTATTTCTTTGGTTTAATAGAATTCTAATAGACTAGTACTAGCAATAGACTAGTGCTAGCACTTTGCTAACCAGACATAGCATGTATTTGGCTCTGCTAGATGCCGGTGTTCACAGTACAGCTTCTCTGCTAACCCAAAATACGTTGGCTTATCACTCTATAAAACTCGATAAACAGAAACCTCTTAAGGCGTTTGGCCTCAATGGAAGTCTAAGCCCACGATATGTACAATATCAATGAATTCAGACTAAAATGTTAAGAGCATAAAAAAGAGGTGACTTTTGAGAACTGTCAGCCCTTAACGACAATTCGTAACTTTATAACTAATAGCTCTGGGGACGATTAAAACAATAAATGCAATACTTTTTAGACTCATGTGTATAACTTTACATAAATCTTTCTTTACAGGTATGTGGTTTATGCAAAAATGGAAAAAATCTGGTTCTTTATTACAACTTTGCATGCGAGATACAACCGATTTGCGTAAAAGTTTCCTTTACCGTTTGAGTCAACGCAGTACATTACATCATTTTAAAAATATATTATTATGTGGTTCCAGTCAAGATCGTTATGTACCAGCACATTCGGCACGCCTTGAATTGTGTAAAGCCGCTATACGTGATAATTCCAATTTGGGCATAATATATAGGTGAGTTTTAAATCCCCCGCCCCCCAAAGAAAAATGGATAAAAAATTAAAAATTTTTTGTTTTTTTTTTTTTTTCACAGAGAAATGATACACAATATTATAGCGCCCATATTGGCTCGTCCCGAATTGACTTTAACGCGCTATGATGTACACCATGCTTTACCGCATACAGCCAATACCTTAATTGGACGAGCAGCCCATATTGCAGTCTTGGATTCGGAATTATTTATAGAGAAATTTTTATTGATAGCCGGTCTAAAATATTTTAGTTAGCATATTTAACTAAAAAATAAACGAACTTATTAAATATTAATTTTAGTGAAAAACGGAAATAGTTCGGAATAGTTTTACAGGGTAAAAAAAAAACACTTTCAAGTCCGCTGAAGAAAATAACGAGAATTGCAAGCATTTTCTTTTTTATTATTATGAACTAAAGTAAATAAGGAATTTTTTTTTAAAAAACCAAAGAAATAATTATAGAAAAAACAACTTCTGATAGAATTGACTTTTTATATATTTAAATATATTACAATATAGATAAAGTAGTTATTGAAAACTTTTCTATTAAAGTTTAAATTAAATCAAAATATTAAAAAGAAATTAAGACCCATACAAAACACTTACAATTCATAACCTTAAAATCCTTGAAACATTTTTAAAAATCAAAATTAAAGAAAGTTAAAAATACAGATTATATTAATATATAAAATATAATCAAATGTTGAACTTAAAAAAAATATTGTTGAGATTTATGAAATTGTAGGAAAGAAAGCCCTTAAAAAAGGAAATAAAATAAAGAAAAACGATTTTTGAATAGTTATAGAAAGATTTTTAAAAAACATAAGGAAACTCCATAAAAAGACATTATTATTAATATTTATAAACATACTTTATATTCCTTTTTTCGTTCAGTGTATTTATATGGTACAATATTTGTCTTGTATTCGTTTATAACTTTTCTCGTTGAAAGCCGTCTTTTAAAGACCCTTTTTAAAACAGGTGTCTTTACACTAGAGTGTAAAAAATTATATACATAGTTGTCAATTAATGTTTAAAAAAAATTGTTTTTCTTCTTCTTGTATTGTATTGTATGTACTTTAATCAAAATTTAAATGGAAATTGTGTAAAACATTTTTTAAAAAATTCAAATTAAGTTTTAATTTTTCAAAAATTCTTTAAAAAATAACTTAAGCTCTACTTTAAATTCTTTTTATTAAAACGTTACACTTTAATTTGCCTATTAATTTGCCAATATGTTAAATCCTTTTCAATTTTCATTTCTTTTCTTAACACCAGTAAATAGTTCTTCTTCTCCTTCTTAATAATTAGAAAAAAAAAACCCCGACAAAAGCTTAACAAAGTAAACGTAGTTTTAAAACAAAAAATAGCCAACACCACCCATTTAAAGAAAATGAAATATAACGAGTTTTTTAAATAGATTTTACATACGTCCAGTTCCAATACTTTAGTAATTGATTGATTGTTTCAATCGATTGATTGAATGAAGAATGAAAGTTATACCAAAGATTGATAAACAATTTAAAATCAACCAAATAGTTACATATAGTAATCTTATTAGAAAAAAGTAACAGCTTTTTAAAAAAAAAAACACATACTAATTAAAATTACCGTGTTTTAATTTGTTTGTAAAAATTATTATTATAAATGAATAACTAAAATAATTACTGTCATTATTCAACAACAACAAAAATCTACTCACAATTTGTCAACTCAAAAGAAAGTTCTTAAGAAAAATAAAAAGATAATTTAAAATATTGAAAAAGAAAAATAGAAAACAAATTGTTTTATTTTATATAAAGAATTATGGAAGATTTGTATCACGATGTCAACAAACAGACAGACAGACTGACTCTACTATATGTAAGGATCCAAAATAGAATAAAGTTCCAAATAAAATGTCAAACTTATAAGGCACTATGGTTCCAAATCAAAATCTTCTGAATTTGGATTAATAATGATTTTGCGGTAGCTAACAAGTAGCTTTCCTCCAATACAAAAGCTGTTTTCAAACGAACGTTTCGTTTTCATGAGAGAAGAGCGATAAATTCAACAAATGTTTGATATTTTCGTTTTTTTAAGACAGTAGTGCTTAACGAATTTAAATGCATCTCCATTATTTTAACAACTAGAAGTCCCTACTTTAAAATTTATATAAAAATTGAAGTAAGCTTTTACTTCATGTAAATTTAATACTCAGTGGACTCACCTTTGTCCTGTTCTAGCTCCTTTAAACTTGGGACTCTTGTAGTCTGACGGAATGAAGGACGTGGAGAGACTCTGTTCACTAATAAAAGAAAAAGTTTAATTTATAAAATAAGTTATAAATTTCAGAAATGCAAATAGAATAGAAAAAAGTATAGATCTCTATTGGAAATATTTTCGAATCACTTTTTAGTTATATTACTGTCCTGCACAAAGATGCTGATCCTTTTAGATTGTCCTAAATTCATTTGTCTGAAATTTATAATCTGTTTGGGTTGCATAGCTAAAAGAAATATTTTTGGTATCCGCTATTTCAAACATCTAAGAGTCAAATAACTAAAATCCTCTATTAATACTCTTCAAAAAGTACCTTTTGACTGCTTAATAACTAATTGACTTGGACTTAGACCAAAAAATAGTTTAATTAATTGACTGATCAATGGACTAGTCCATGGACTAATCGATAATATTGTCAATACCATAAATCATAGACTAGTCTATACACTAACTTACAGATACAACAGGTAGTAGTATTTTATGCCAACAACTCGAGTCAGAGTGAAGTTTATATTCTGCTTTCAACTACCCAAAAACGTATCCATCTGTTCGGACGTATCCATCTGTTCGGTTAACTCTACTTATGGACTAGGTCACTTGGAATACCGCAATTTCTAGACCACGAGTATATATTAAACCATGTATAGGTCCCCATACATGGACAGTTTAAAAAATATCACAAGGTGTCCTAAAGCGAAATACGATGGGAACCCCTGCCATAAACTACTAATGGAGTAGACTATAGACAAGTCAATATGCTGGTCAATAGATAAAAAAACCCAATATCTGATGGAAATAAAGGTTTAATAAAACATCTACATTTGAAGAACTATCGGCGCTTAGAAGCCTAGTGTAGTTCCAAGAAAAGCCTGCACAAATATCATATACAAAGCAATGCGATTGGATAAACTTATGCTAAAATTTCCAGCAAATTAAATCGCTTTTTATCAATTTTTCAATACCTAAACTACAACACTTACCCCAACAATATATTAAACAAAAAGTATTTTAATTCTATAATTTAAATTTTGCACATTTTAAAACCCACAATCTAGACTTAAAATTAAATGAAAACAAACTGACACAAAACAAAACAAAAACAAACAGAAATAACAGTACGTTAACTGCATTATCGACTTACAGAATGCAACTTGGCAACAGTGTTGCCAACTTAGTGCTTTTAGCACTATTTGCGGTGCTTTTTGGTGTGCCAAACGCGGAAAATTTTGCTCATGGTGCCTTTTTTCAAAAAGGCACTACAGTGGTGCTTTCTAATTTTATGACAGTGCATTTAGTGCTTTTTATACCCACCATCAAAAAAGATGAGTGGGGTATATTGATTTTGTCACTCCGTTTGTAACACATTGGTCGTAGACCCACAAAAGTATTAAATTCTAAGGCGATCTAACCATGTCCATCCGTCTGTTCATCTGTCCGTCCGTCTGTTGAAAGCACGATAGGGTTAGAACGGAAAGAGCAAGGGAGTTAAATTTTTCCACAAATATTTCTTATAGGTAAGGTTTGTTTGGTATTGCAAATGGACAATATGGGTCCACAATTTCGCATATCCCCCATACAAGTGGCCCCCCCGAAAAACAGCTTTAACAGTCACAACTGTTTTAAACATACGAGTATAGCGATAAAATTTGGCATAAATAAGTTTTATATGCGCCAAAATCTCTGTACCAAATTTTATGGGATTCGGTCCAAAATTGACCCTACCCCCCATACTAGTATAGCGATGAAATTCAACATAAGTAAGTTTTATATATGCCAAAATCTCTACTAAATTTTATAGAAATTGGTCTATAATTGACCCTACCCCCCATATAAGGTCTCCTTCAGAAAATGATTTAAACGGTCATTACTGACTTAAAAATACGTTATAGCGATGAAATTCGGCATAAATAAGTTTTATATAAGTCAAAATGTCTCTACCAAATTTTATGGGAATCGGTCCATAACTGACCCTACCCCCAAATAAGGTCCCCCTATGAGTGCAGCGTTGAAATTCAACATAAGTAACTTTTATATGCATCAAAATTTCTCTACCAAATGACATTAATACTCATTATCGACTTAAAAATATTCGACATAAATATGTTTTATATAAGCCAAAATCTCTCTAGCAAATTTTACGGCAATCGGTCCATAATTGACCCTACCCCCACATATGGTCACCTTCAAAAATTGATTTTAACGCTCATTACTGACTTAAAAATACGAGTATAGCGGAGAAATTCGAATTTAATTCGGATTTGTCGGTAGCGTACCCTACCCCCTATTAAGGTCCCCTTAAAAATATGAGTACAGCGATGAAAATTGACAAAAAATAAGTTTTATATAATTTTTTTACACAATTAAACCTATCCCTCATATATAAAGCCTCCATGATTACTTCATCGTTGTACTCGCAATAAAAAGATTTTTATTATAATTCTTTATGCCGAATTTTATGACGATTGGTCTATAACTGACCAACAAAACAAAATCTATGTACAAAATTTTATGGGTATCGATATATAATTGTCCCAACCCCATATAAGTTCCCCTTTAGATAATAACTTTTACGCTTATGACTGAATTAAAAATTCGAGAACAGCAATGAAATTCGAAACGAATAAGTGTTATACGAAATCTTTCTACCAAATTTTACGACAAACAGTTCATAATTGACACTACCTCTGATATATGTTCATGGTAAAAAAAATTGGACAAAAATATTTTGTTTTTAAAAATTAATATTTTGTTAATTTGAAGATCACGTACATAATTGAATTAAGCCTTATCTCCCTGATGTTTACAGAGGAGCATTCCTTTTACGGCATAAGATTTGATGGTGGGTATATAAGATTCGGCACAGCCGAATATAACACTCTTGTTAAAATATTTTAAAATATTTGTGAATTTCAGGAGGTAATTTATTTAATTAATATTAAACATTTTCTCTATAATGTTAAGAAAACTGAGGGATCATTCTTTGATCTTTCTATTTGTACCACTTTTTGTTGTTTATTAGAATACGATCAGTTTACACTAAGGACTAAATTTTTCTTAAAAACTGTTTTAAATTTTTTTACACGGGTGCTCCAAAGTTTTTTTTATTTGTGTTAAGTTTTAAAAGCAAATATTCTTCAAAAACAAAAAACAAAATATTCAAAATACTTTACAATAAGTTATGTTATTCACTATCAGTGAAATTAACAATTTTTCCAGAACTCAAAAAACTTAAAAATAATATATATAGATTTTGCAAAAAAATATATTTCATAAGTTTTGTACAATTTTACAATTTGGGTGTGGGTACATCGGTTGGCCAGTTGGTAGTGTGCCTGTCAGTTTGAATGTTTAATGACATTTTACTATTTATAAAATAACTTTTAAAATTCTCATCTTATTTATCTAATATTCGTCAAACATTAGTTTTAGTTCTTACGTTACTAAAAATCTAACTCACACAGATGAAAGACTTTAGTATGACACATGTTTTGTTTTGTGTTGCCCAATGTTCTAAAAAACGAATTTTGGAGTCTTGTAGGAAATGAGCGAAATAATGTGCAATTTTTATTAAAATAAACAATATTTGACTAAAAAAAACGTTAGTGCTTTTTTACCCATTTTCAGTTAGAAAATTACGCTTTTTTACCCCTTTTTAATTTTTTTGCGCGCGTTTTGCTTGACCAATGTTGGCAACACTGCTTGGCAAATCGAACAGCTGTTTTTCTACACTATTTTATACGAATATGAAAACCAAAACAAAAAACCTAAAAATTGTCATTGTGAATGTTTCGATAGACAGTAAAAAAAGAAATGAATCGATAATTTACGTAGAAAATCTATTTTGTGTTATTTTTTTTACAAGAAATTTAAATTCTTTTAAATAAAAGTGTATTTCCTTAATTAAATACATTAAAGGGAACTTATTTTAATAATTTAATAAAGATTTATAAGAAAACAACAATGTCTACAACACGAGTGCCCCAGTTGCGTATGGGTCAACAGGATCTAAAATGCAGACAGGGTTGCGGTTATTACGGTAACTGGCAGTTCGATGGTCTCTGCTCCAAATGTTTTCGTGAACGCAATGAACAACGAAAGAAATGTAAGTAACAAGTTGTTGCTAGAGAGATTGTTGTAAAAGAAGATAAATATTTATATTTATTAATTTTAATTCAAGTGGCTCAAGACACACCCAAACCAAGTGGCTCAGCTTCACCTCAGCAACAGCATGATAAGTCTTCAGCGTCATCGTCAGGTCACAAAAAACCGGTAGCCACTACTACAGCGACAGGCGAGGGCATTAACACTTTGACCAAGAAAAAATCTCTAGTGCCAGCCGTATTCCAAAAGACTTTACAAAATCAATCGTTAAAAAAGCAATCACGTCAGCGTCATGAAGGTAAGTAATGTTTTTTTTCTTATTATGTGTTTTCTTTATTTTTTATGTGTTTGACTTAATTAAAGTTAAAATAATTGGTCAAGCCCTCTGTATGCGCTACACTTATGTTAACTAGTTTTGGGATGTACAACTTATATTGAATGGCAATTGTGGGAAGATTATGATCTTTTTAACTACATATGAAACCTATTCATTTGATACCAACATTTTTGAGAGGTTTATTTATATGAGTTTTGGAATTAGCCAGTTAGAATATAAGAACAATAAGAGCACATTTGCATATAGTAATGTTTATTGTTGGTTTAAGATTATTTTTGTTAAATTTAAATCTTAAAAGTTCTGTTGGTGTTATCTTTATTTAATTTACAATTTCTCTTTAAGTGTAATTCGAATAACCTCTTTAAATGCAATGATAATGAAATATATTTATTTTGTTTTACATTTTTCCTGATAATTTTTTTATAGTTATAAAGATAATTTATTTTTAACTTCCGACTGTTGCAATGGTTTCGCATTTGTCATAAATTATACATTTAATATCTCAGAATGTAATAATCTAGAGCAAAATTAAATATGTAATTAAGTTAAGTTCTAGTTCAGTTCTAATTTAGTTCTAGATCAATTCTAGTTCAGTTCTAGTTCAGTTCTAGTTCAGTTCTTGTTTAGTTCTAGTTCAGTTCTAGTTCACTTCTAGTTCAGTTCTAGTTCAGTTACAGTTCAGTTCTAGTTCAGTTCTAGTTCAGTTCTAGTTCAGTTCTAGTCCAGTTCTAGTTCAGTTCAGTTCTAGTTCAGTTCTAGTTCAGTTCTAGTTCAGTTCTAGTTCAGTTCTAGTTCAGTTCTAGTTCAGTTCTAGTTCAGTTCTAGTTCAGTTCTAGTTCAGTTCTAGTTCAGTTCTAGTTCAGTTCTAGTTCAGTTCTAGTTCAGTTCTAGTTCAGTTCTAGTTCAGTTCTAGTTCAGTTCTAGTTCAGTTCTAGTTCAGTTCTAGTTCAGTTCTAGTTCAGTTCTAGTTCAGTTCTAGTTCAGTTCTAGTTCAGTTCTAGTTCAGTTCTAGTTCTAGTTCAGTTCTAGTTCAGTTCTAGTTCAGTTCTAGTTCAGTTCTAGTTCAGTTCTAGTTCAGATCTAGTTCAGTTCTAGTTCAGTTCCAGTTTAGTTCTAGTTCAGTTATTATTCAATTTTTATAGTTTTTATAAGAACAAATGGCAAATTATATTACAATTTTCCTAACATTTCATTACAGCATCCTCACATCACAAACACTATGTTCCCGATCCGACTGAAAGTCAATTTATACTACAACTTAGACAACTGCGTATACCCGACGATGGTAAACGTAAACTGAAAACTGAGATACAACGTTTAGACAGTGCTATACGCTCATATATAAATAGCACAGGAGCAAAAAATATTGATGAACTTTCAGAATTAGTACAGAATGCATATACGAAATTTGCTGGTATTGTACATAACGATCAGAGATTTCAAATAGCCACCAATGAAGATCGTGAAAGTACCATAGATTTTTTTGAAAAAGTTGTAATGACTCAGAATCATAAGTAAGTCTAGTAAAATAATCCAAACTAATACCAAAAATGTTAATTTTTTAAATTTTCTTATAGATTCTTATTTAGTCCTTATTTTACCTCAGACGAAGAGAATGATGTTAAAATACAAAAACGTATACGCCAACTTAGCTGGATAACGGCCAAACATTTGGCCTGTAGTATAGATGAGGTAAATGCGGAGTCAAGAGAACTGGTATACAATGCCATAACAGGTAATTAAATTTGTAATTACTTTAAAGAAATTCGAAACTGATTTAAAACTTGTGTATACTTAGAACTTGTGGGTATTGATTCATTTTACTCACCCCAAGAGAAATTGGAATGTACTGTACGCTGTTGTCGTCATATTTTTGAATTACTAAAACATTCCGTTGGTGGCCCGGCCAGTGCTGATGAATTTCTACCAGCTCTTATATTTGTGGTGCTTAAAGCCAATCCCGTGCGTTTGCATAGTAATATTAATTTTGTGACACGTTTTACTAATGCTTCACGTTTGATGAGTGGTGAAGGTGGTTATTATTTCACAAATTTGGTAGGTTTCCTCTTTAATTTTTTTTTATTTCTTTATATTAACTTTTATCAATTTACTGTTCCAGTGTTGTGCTATTTCTTTTATTGAAAATCTCACTGCTCAGAGTTTAAATATGGATGAGAAGGAGTTCGATTTATTGATGTCGGGCTCAAAACACTACAGCACACCCTGGGAGAGTGCTTTAATGGCTTGCGAAAGTTTGCACTTGATTTCGGAAAATATGAAACGTATGGAAATGCTTAAGACTCGCAATCAGAATATAAATAGTGGCATACAACAGTTTGCATTGGATTTAAAGGAATTTCAGGTAAGTTGGTTATATGAATTTTAGGAAATTATAAAACGATATAGTAAAAAGATCATATAAAAGATAATGTTCGACTGGAAAAGAAAATGTTTCTAAAAATTTTCTATAAATCAGAATTTTTCAAAAAAAAATTATAAAAAAATAATTTACTGTTCAAGTCCAGTTCTAATTCTAATTCAGTTCTAGTTCAATTCTAGTTCAGTTCTAGTTTAGTTCTACTTTAATTCTAGTTCAGTTCTAGTTCAGTTCAAGTTCAGTTTTAGTTTAGTTCTAGTTCAGTTCAGTTCTAGTTCAGTTCAAGTTCATTTCTAGTTCAGTTCTAGATCAGTTCTTGTTCAGTTTTAGTTCAGTTCTAGTTCATTTCTAGTTCAGTTCTAGTTCAGTTCAAGTTCAGTTTTAGTTTAGTTCTAGTTCAGTTCTAGTTCAGTTCTAGTTCAGTTCTAGTTCAGTTCTAGTTCAGTTCTAGTTCATTTCTAGTTCAGTTCTAGATCAGTTCTTGTTCAGTTCTAGTTCAGTTCTAGTTCTAGTTCAGTTCTAGTTCAGTTCTAGTTCAGTTCTAGTTCAGTTCTAGTTCAGTTCTAGTTCAGTTCTAGTTCATTTCTAGTTCAGTTCTAGATCAGTTCTTGTTCAGTTCTAGTTCTGTTCTAGTTCAGTTCTAGTTCAGTTCTAGTTCTGTTCTAGTTCAGTTCTAGTTCAGTTCTAGTTCAGTTCTAGTTCAGTTCTAGTTCATTTCTAGTTCAGTTCTAGATCAGTTCTTGTTCAGTTCTAGTTCAGTTCTAGTTCTAGTTCAGTTCTAGTTCAGTTCTAGTTCAGTTCTAGTTCAGTTCTAGTTCAGTTCTAGTTCAGTTCTAGTTCAGTTCTAGTTCAGTTCTAGTTCAGATCTAGTTCAGTTCTAGTTCAGTTTTAATTTAGTTCTAATTCAGTTCTATTTCAGTTCTAGTTTTTATTGGAATACCTATTTTCTATCGTAGCGTTACTGAAGCGGAAACGTAATCGAAATGTAGAATAGGGATGATTAACCTTTTTAAATTAAACTCAACAAATAATGGAAATTGTTGTAGTTTGTTTTTCTTTATTAATTATTATTGTTACAATTAAAACATTGAATAATTTTTTGTTCTCTTTTGCTTAATTGGCATCATGACTTTTGCTTGTTTTTATTAATGAAAAATAAAAAAAAACTGTGAGATTTAAAAATAAAATCTCAACTAAATAAATTTATCCTAAAATCTAAAAAAATGAAAAGAAAAAAAGAACTTAAAAGCGTTAGAAAAGATAATACAAACTAAACTTTAAAAAAGAACAATAATAATTAGAAGAAAATAGTAATGATAATAATATTTATATATACGATTACTAAATTTATAAATCGCCGGGTTTGAGAGAGAACGACAATTTTGGTCTTGAGTTATTTTTCCCTAAAATTACTTTTTGCTCTTCTTTGACGCGTTTCTCTTGCTCTTTGCGCATACGTTGACGTTCTTCGTCCATCAAACGTTGCTCCTCGATAATGGCCAAACGCTCTTCCGCCTGGAAATGAGAAATTTGGTAAAACATTTTGAAAAAGAGTTAGTTTTAGTTAGACTTACCAATTTGCGTTGAGCTTCTTCAATTTTACGATTATTTTCAGCCAATATCTCTTCAAGTTCTTCTCTCTTTTTCTTTTCCTCTTCCTATAAATTATGGAAAGGAAGTTGGTATTAATTTAAAATTCGTTAGTGTTATAGAAAATTTTAAAATTATTTTTCTTAAATAAAGAAAACAACTAAAATACTTTTATTTTAAAAAAATATATAATTTAAACAAAAACAAAATATAATAATAAAAATTTGATTTTTTATAAAAATTTATATAAATTTCTAAGGAAAAAAGTACAACAGTTTTTTTTTATATGAATTTATAAAGAAAATTAACGTAACACACTTATAGTTCTTTTTCTTATTATCTTTTTGGGTAAAATTGTTGGGTGTTGTTATTATATTTTCTTTCTTTCTTTTTCTTGTCTGTGGACAAAATATACAATTAGTATTTTTCATCAATTCTTTTTGAGTTAGTTTAGTTTTTAATTATATAAATATAAATTATTTTTAATAGTTTAATACAAAATATAGTGTTTGTTCTTCACATTTTTTGAGTAAAAAGTCCTTTTATGTTTTTTTGTTATTTTTTTGCATTAAAAAGAAATTTGAACAAAATTTTACTTACAATTAGTTTTATTTAACATCGAGTTTCCAATACTTTTGCTTTTAAAATATGTTGATATTCATTGTTAATTACAAGTTACTCTAAATATGTTATGCAACAAAACAATAAAATATCATATTTATTTTGTTTCTTTCTTTTCATCTTTTTTCAATTTAACAATTATTTTTTATTTTTTTTTTGGTATGTGTAGTGTAAATTAAAAAAATATTTATATAAAAAAAATAAAAGTTTCAAATTTAAAAGAAACAAAAAAACCAAATCGTTAAATAGGAACTGATATCTAAGCGTATGTTTAGATGTAGTTGATAGTTATATAGACCGTATTGTTTAGAGTGGTTATATCGTTTTTAAGGCATAATCAACTCTTTCTCCACTTTTCAAGGTGTATCAGATGGATTATATTATTTTATTTCAGCCTTTAATAGTTTGCCTGCTAAATACCTTCCATTTTGTGTTTCCGCTTTACTTTTTAACAGATTCTGCTTTCCAGCTCAGTGTTTTGCTAAATATTTTATTTTTATCAAACTTACTTTCGCAGTTTACACCTTTATGGGGCCACTTGTAGAGAGGAGTAGTAGTAATAGTAGTTTTGTGATAGTAGTAGTCATTAGGTGTGTTTTTTGTCTTGTAAAGATTATTTTTTATGAACATAGGCGCTGTATTGTTCATCAAGGCTTTTACGCTTGTTTTTAAGGTTTTCAAAAACTTGCTCTCAGCTTTAGTAGAGCTTACCAAATGGGTTGCTGAAATTTATTTCCGTGTTATTGAACTTTCAGATCTTTATTATTTCGTAATGTAAACAATTTACATTTTGTAATATTTTTGCAATTAAATTTATTTTAGAAAATTTTTAAATATTTTAATAAATTTCGAAATTTAAAATTTTTATAAAATATCCCCAAAAAATGAATAATTCTTATAATTTTTGGTTAAAAAGCTAAAAAAAATATCCCACCCAATTTGGCAAACTTCGTTTTTCTAAGTGACGGCAAGTTTTTTTTTCGCACAAAAAGCAAATTATTTTCTTTATGGAAAAATAAATAATTAAAAAAAAAAATCAAACAGTATTTGCATACAAAAATACTTAGTAAAAACAAATTTGTATGTTTGGATTATGTATGTTTGTTTGTTTTTAGTGAAAAACACATAGAGAAAAGGTGGGAAGAAATTTAATTCATCAGTAGGGATAAATAGCAAGGTGAAGTGGAGTTGGTGGTATTGTTGTTTGAGGGTTGGGGCGTAAAGGATTACAGGAATGTAAAAAATTATATTTGTATAAGGGAAATTATTCAGTTCAGAAAGCTTGGAGTATTTGTATTGTGGTTAATTGTATGTTTGCTCCAAGTTTACTACAAAATTCCTGAATACGAGCACCTACCTCTCTGCGGCGTTCTTCTTCCCGTATTTGTTCACGCCTACGCTCTAATTCGAGCATCATTTCACGTTCCATTTCAATTTTGGCCTGTTCGACACGTCTTTTAACCTCCAATTCGATTTCGTCACGTCTTTTTTCCAGCTCTTCCTCAACACGGCGTTTAACCAAGAGTTCTATGCGTTTGGAAGCTTCTTCTTCAATGATCTAATACACAAAAAGAAATTTAATATTAATATCATAATAATTAACTAAAAACAAAAACAAAATTACCTTTTGCTCGGCCTCTTTTTGTCGGCGCTGTCTTTCCATTTCAGCCAAACGTTCCACCTAGTTTAAGAAATTAAACTTCTAGTTAAAACACTTATTACTTCTCTTCCTCCTCTCCTCCCGGCTTACCTCATCTAACTTCTTATAGCGTCCCTTTTTATGTCTGCTACTGCTTTGCGTCTGCGAATCACTATCCGTATAACTCGATGATACAGAAGATGTTGACCTTTTTCTCGATCTATGATGATTATGTTCGCGTTCCCTATCACGCACTCTATCTCGTTTACTTGAATTACTACTGCCGCTGTGGCCATAATTATTGTAGACATCCAACTCCTTATCACGTTTACGCTCACGTTCACTATGATGCGATTTGCTGCGTTTTTTGTGTTTACTCTTGTGATGCCTTCGCTTAGGCGTGGGACTGCGTGATCTTGAACCCATTGATTACCGAATAATATTAACACAATTTATAATTTTATTTTTACCGCGCTCAAATACTATTTTTGTAGATGGAATTTGTTCACAAGTTTTTTTTTTTAGAAATTATAAAAAATCTACAGCCTAAAATCGATTGTTGACGCAATGGTGTTATTCATTTATTGTGAATTACTTGTGACAGTAGAGAATTTTTGACAACTAAGTCGATGGTGATGGCACAGGGCGTCTACCAAAATATAAATTTGTATTATAGTATTTTGGTGTTGTTTACACGCAAGGATGTTAAAACCGCTTGTACAAATTTCTTGCCGGCCTTTTTTTGCAAAAGTTTAAAATTTATAAATTTTCTTTTCATAGAAAATTTCGATAATTTTTCTTTTAATACAAATTTATTTTAAATTTTCTTTTTACAGAAAATTATCGATAAATTTTCTTTTTATAGAAATTTTTCGATAAATATTCTTTTTATAGAGAATGTTCGATAAATTTTATTTTCATAGAAAATTTTCGATAATTTTTTTTTTCATAGAAAATTTTCGATTAATTTTTATTTTATAAAAAACATTCGATAAATATTTATTTTGTAGAAAATTTTCGGTAAGTTTTCTTTTCCATAAAAAATTTTCTATTATTATTTTTCAATAAATTTTGATTTCATAGAGAATTTTGGATAGTCTCATTATAAATAACAAAAATTAAATTTTATTTTTAATTTCAGTTGGAAATATGTTCAAAAGTTGATGCCGTACTAGCCAAGGCTCCTCTCACCATACTACCCATTAAGACACCAGAATTCTTAATACCTCAGGCACGAGCTCATCTTACAAACGAATCCGAAAACGACAACGATGAAAACAAAGAAAATGCTGCAGATAAAGAAAAAACCATAGAAAATGTTGCCAAAGTTTTAGGGGGCCATTACAAACACAATTTAATGGCTGCCATGGATGCTACTGGTTACAGTTCGACACCCATTGCAGCAAAAGAAACACAAAACAAAGTTTTACCTTTACCATTAAAACCCCAAAAATTAGTAGCATCACCTAAAAAACTAACATCGGCTGATGATAGTGTTCTGGACACAAGTACATCCAATATACATCAACTCTCTATAAGAGATGGTGCCAACAATAGCAGTTTGGGTCGTCTATCGCCCTTACCCTCATCTCAGCAGAGCACCGATATGTTATTCGCTTCTCCTATATTTAACTATACATTCGATAGTAATTCTCTGCTCGATGAACCATCCGATTCAACAGATGATTTAATGTTAACTGCTGAATTTCGCGGTGGTTTGACAAATATTAACTATGATTTTGATTTGTCTGATCACAGCAATGAAAATAGTGTGGCCGATGATGTTAAAATCAATTTAGCAGAATTTGATCCTCTGTTAAAAGCAGCAACACCACCTTTTGAAAATCAACCACAACCTTCCACATCTAGTCAAATGCAGGCAAATTCTTTGCCCATTTTAGAGGATAATACAAAAAGTTTACTCGATAGCGATTCACCTGCTAATGAACCAATGCTTCCGTCACCTTTAAAACCCATGATTACCGATTATCGGGGGTTTTCTACATTTGAGATACCATCGATTTCCTGTAATACCGGCGATTACAGTTCTCTCACTCATGCTATAAACAGTGATGTTGTTGCGGAACATCAGCAACAGGGAGAAGAAATAAAAAGTCTTAAATGTTATTGTCCTTATTAGTAACGTACTCATTTTTGTAACCCAAGTGTAGTTTTTGCGTAAATTTGTATTTTATGTTTTGTTCAAGTGGCGAAAAAGAAATAAAATGTATGAAAAAAATATTTTGTGAAAATTGAGTTTTATTTTTTATTTATTTCAATCTTTACTTAATCTTTATTTAATTTAATAATTATAGTTAATTATGAAATATACATCATTGTTTTAGAACACGGTAACATTTGTATTAAAACTAGTTTCTTAAAGGAAATTGTCATTCATTTTGTCATCTCTGAATTACGATTTTTATCGTTAATACCTCGTTACCTCGTTACCACGATTCCATTATTCGCCATTCACGCTCCCATTAGAAATTTAAACCCCATTTAAGCGATTTTCGGAAGTGAACCATAGCTCCTATGGCCAATTATGGACCGATACAGATCTAGGTTAGTAATATAATTTCTATTGATATTATATTTATTTGTGCTGATATTTTCCATTTTCTAAAATATTTACCATTGTTTGGTGACTATATCACGGATATGGGATTGTTAAATATTTTGCATCAAAAAATATAATTTTCATCAGATAGAGTTTATTGAATATAATCACTCGATATGTGTTTAAGTTTATTAGCGTTTTATTTGAAATTTATACATTGACAGCATTGGCACAATGTAAACAATAACAAAAGAAATACCAAGCAAAAATAAAAGAAAATTCGAAATTAAACGAAAACTTTAATCTTTAAATGAAAACTACAACAAAACGCAAAATGTATCAAAAGCGGCGCAAAAAAGAAAAAGCTGAACAACGAAAAAAGGAATTGCAAGCACAACAGTTAGCATCAACAACTGTCGCAACTTATAAATACAACAGCAACAACAATGGAAACAAACAAAACCAACGTAACCTGCCCACCATTAAAAATAATCACCAGCAATATTCAACTAATCCCACAATTGGTCCCATAACTTCATATTCTCAAAGTTTACAAATTTGGTGGCAAACATATTGTTCTGCCATTGATTTTCATACCCGACAGCAGAATGCCTGGAGAGGTGATAGTAAAGATCAACAATTGATGTTATTGGAAAAGTATGCCAATGAATATGAGACATCATCGGAAGAGGAGGACGACGATGGCAAGGAAGAGGAGACGATAGAACATAATCTAGACGCTGCAAATATGAATGACAAATCTGCGGAGAAAGATGTGGATGAGGAATATATACAATTTTTAGAAATTACTCATAAACATAGAAAGGAATTGCTTCTCAAAAGGGCTGAAGGAAATTAATTTTTTTTTATATTTTTTGAAGGACAACGGTTTTCTTTTATACCAGATTTATTATACAATAAAAATACATATTTACAAGTAGTAAAATCGTGTTTCTTTGGTTTCACACGCTAGATTTTTTATCAACTTGTTTCCAAAAGTTAAAATGGTCTTTAAATTTTTTCACATACATCCTATGTACTCGATTAAAAACTACCAAATTAAAACATTTATTAACGAAAACCACAAACTTGTGAAAATCTTGCTATTTGAAATTTGGTTTTGTTTCGTTTAGCCAACATATTTGATATGAATTATTGAAACGGTGTTCACAGGATGTTTCATAAAATAAAAAAAAGTTTATCTACTTTATATAATTTCCTTAAAATTGACAACACTGCATAACAGCTGACTGTCAAAAACAGCCGCAAAAGTTTTTGGGTTTTTTCGAGTGTTTTTTTTGGTTGTTGATCGATTCTATTAGAAAGAAGAAGAAAGCTTGTCGATTTTCTGGAAAGAATTAGAAAAATTGGAAAATATAATTGAAATAAAAAGAAAAAACCTTTAATAAAACAAAACTTATGAGGGAAAAAACATAAATAAACAATATGGAAAATGCAGATGAGGTAAATTTTACGAAAATGACATAATTTCTAAAATAGACTTAAACGAACAATTTTTCCAGATTGAAGTGTGTCAGAATGTGGAGCCTCACGAAGTGGAGGAGACAGTCAAGTCTAAGGCGGTCGTAAAGTTTTCCCAGGTACAAGTACCGGTGAAATTCAATCGTTTGGAGTGTAATACCAACTTGAATCTGCCACCCTCTAATTGGCTGACCACGGCCGATAATAGTTATGGTCTGCACCAGGCTTTGTATCACAGTCCTGGTTTTGCCAGTTTTCGCATGGCCCATATGTTTCCCGATTGTGTGGGCGAGGTAGATGTGGTGGCAGATGCTGAGAATATTAAGAAGTTGTTAAAACTCCCCTATACCTCGCAAGGAGCTATTAGTATGATAGTGCACAAAGTGGGCAATACTATTTTGCTGGATGAGTTTGATATACAAAAGTATTTGCTACGCAAGGCTGACGATGATTGGAAATGGTTGAGAACTTTTATATTGGAACAGATTTTGGCCTATGGTGAGGGAGGCCATAATTTTTGTTTAAAAGACAAGTCACGTGAAGCTATACAAACTAAGAATTTACTTTCCAAGTTTTTATACTACTCGCTAAAACAATCTGGAGTTTCTGAGGTCTCCGATAATCAACAGAAAAGTACTGAGAAAAATACCACTTTGCCCATTAAAAATCCTGTACTGCCAGAACCCAAAGTGGAGGAAAATGTACCGGATCCTCATTCATCTCATGTCTTTCAACGTAATGTGGTTTGGACCTTTGAAGATATACGCATGTTAATCGGTACAGATATGCCCATATTTGGAGGCCCTAATCGCCCCTGTATTAGTTTAAGACTGCGTGATATGACCAAACCAATCAATGTTTTGACTGGCATAGATTACTGGCTGGATAATCTAATGTGTAATGTTCCAGAAGTGGTGATGTGTTATCATTTAGATGGCATAGTGCAGAAATATGAAATCATTAAAACTGAAGATTTGCCCTATTTGGAAAATTCACAATTTTCTCCACAAGTTGTGCGTAATGTGGCACAAAATATATTGGCCTTTCTAAAGGCTAATGCTACAAAGGAGGGTCATACCTATTGGCTATTCAAGGGTCGCAATGACGATGTTGTAAAACTTTATGATTTGACTACCTTGTGTAAGAATCAAACAAATGCCTCCGAATGTGACGAAAAGCAAGAAAATCCCTTTACCGTACCAGTGGCCATGCTGCTCTATACTGTGGCACGTAATATGAAAAATCGTTCTCCTCAGATAACCGCCAAAACTGCGGGAAATATTAGGGCTTTATTGGACAATTGTATAAAGTTATTGCCCAAAGAGAAATATCCTCAAATTGTTACTTCTTCTCATTATATACTGTCGGATTTGCATATACCAGCCGGTATAGATCCCAAAGATCCCAAATTTGATACCTGTGACAATGATTCCGATACACAATCCCTATACGAGGAGGAGGATGAAGACGAGGAAGATGACGAGGAATATGGCGCCTTTAGCAAACATGAAGAATTATTTAATTTCCAAGAATTAAGTAAAGATCAAAATGTGGCTGTCCAAAATATATGTGATACTCTTAAAGAGTTTAATTTGGATAATATTACCACTAAAACAGGCAGTCAAAGACCCTCACCTTTGGTGGCTTCGGTGGAAGAGAGATGTTCCATTGCCTTGGAACATATAAGTAAGGGTTTATCCTGCTTGCAGTTTTTCAATAAAAATGAGGAGAAATTCATTAAAGAAACTGAGGCTCGAGCCAAAGATGAAGAAAAACAAAAATCATACATGAAGAACAAAATCCCAATATGGCCAAACCTTTTAAACCTATACCTTTGCCCTATGAGTCACTGAACGCACAAAAGGCGCCCTTATCTAGGAGTAAATCAGTGGAAAGTGATGATGAGTCTGTAAAGGAAATGAAAACAAAGAAATCAAAAGTTAAAAAATCTCAAGTTAAAGATTTAAAACCTTTAACAACTGCCACCTCTCAACAGCAACAGTCACAGCTACCTCAACAGATTGCTGTTAGTTTTAATTCACAACTTTTTGGTTCCTGGAATATACATCTTAAACTGTTGCTATTGGAAAAAGCTTGCCTAACATATGCCACTTTGGCGGAACATAATTATGTGGAACAGAAATATGGTTCAAGTTTAAGAGCCATTTATATGTCTTGCAAATGTCAGCAGGTGGTTTTGAAGTATATGAGTTCATTAGTTTCCCAGAAGAGTTGTTTATTGGGACGTGCTGGCGATTGTCTATTTCAAATGACTAAAGATTGGCAAAATATTGAGGGACATTTAAAAGATTTCAATAGAAAATACGATGCGGAAAAGTTCATACGCAAAGAATTGGAAAAAGAGTTGGGTAAGTACCAAAAAGAGCTAGGATTAGTCATATTATAATAAAAAATTGTGATTTCATTTTAGACACTGATGACTGTTCGGAACTGATTGAACCTCAAGAAAATATTGAATTTTTAATGGCCTCCAGTTGCGCCTGTTATGAAAATGCCTTAGAACATGTAACCAGTTCGACGGGCGATAAAGCAGATGAGGAGGCACGACACGAACTATTGAGACGTTTGGGTAATGTACGCAATGAATTGGGTGTGAAATATATGTTTTGGGCTCAAGAAGAATACACCAAATATGTACAAGACCACAGCTCAGAATTATTCAATACAAATGATACTGCACAACAAGAGGAAGCCAAAGAAAATGCTGAATCTAAGGCCGATAAGGACAAGGAAGAAAATGATGACACCAAAAAGAAAGAAGAACCTTTATATTTGAAATTGGCCATGAAATCTTACGATTGTTTAATACGTGGCATAAAAGCTTTCAGTGTAGTTCAGGATAATATTAATATGGCATTTTTATACTGCAACATGGGTAGATTTATGCGTTTTAGGGCTCATTTAATGATACCTAGTGAATGGTGAGTGTTTTATTTTTGCATAATTAATTAGTTTTAAATATTGTTTTATTTCATAGCATCGATTTAATACAACAACAAAAAATGTTTTACAATGAAGCATTTTCGTATTATGAAAAAGCCAAAGATGTTTTGGGTTCTCGTAAATCGAATGCCGAGCTGTGGGATTTAGTTAATTGGGAACTATCGACTGCCACTTTTACTTTTGCCAAACAATTGCAGGATTATAGTAGTGCTGAACAGGTAAATAAATACTCATACATAAAAAGGCAACATTTTCATAAAAAGAAAATCAATAAACTATGAACTAGAACTGAACTAGAACTGAACTAGAACTAGAACTGAACTAGAACTGAACTAGAACTGAACTAGAACTGAACTAGAACTGAACTAGAACTGAACTAGAACTGAACTAGAACTGAACTAGAAACTGAACTAGAACTGAACTAGAACTGAAGTAGAACTGAACTAGAACTGAACTAGAACTGAACTAGAACTGAACTGAACTAGAACTGAACTAGAACTGAACTAGAACTGAACTAGAACTGAACTAGAACTGAACTAGAACTGAACTAGAACTGAACTAGAACTGAACTAGAACTGAACTAGAACTGAACTAGAACTGAACTAGAACTGAACTAGAACTGAACTAGAACTGAACTAGAACTGAACTAGAACTGAACTAGAACTGAACTAGAACTGAACTAGAACTGAACTAGAACTGAACTAGAACTGAACTAGAACTGAACTAGAACTGAACTAGAACTGAACTAGAACTGAACTAGAACTGAACTAGAACTGAACTAGAACTGAACTAGAACTGAACTAGAACTGAACTAGAACTGAACTAGAACTGAACTAGAACTGAACTAGAACTGAACTAGAACTGAACTAGAACTGAACTAGAACTGAACTAGAACTGAACTAGAACTGAACTAGAACTGAACTAGAACTGAACTAGAATATAATTTGTTGAAATTTACTAATAAAAAGGACACTTTTTCAAAAAATTTCTATAAAAAGGACATTTTTCGAAAGATTCCGGTAAAAATTATTTTTTTTTTTTTGGAAAATATTCTATAAAAAGAGATTTTTTGGAAAATTTCCTATAAAAAGGATTTTTTTAATAAGTTTATTTTTACTTTTTAGGTTTGCCGCAATGACTTAGAAAAGGAAGTTTTAGATTTGTTACAAAAATCATTAAAATTATGTGATGTTGAGCATCCGGGTTCAAGACAAATTCTGTATACTTATCGTTCAGGTTTAATACACAAAAGGTTAGTAAAAGAAACAAAAGATGAAAAAAAACAAATTTTTTTTTTTATTTAATTAACTTATTTCTTTACAGAATTGCCTCTTTCCACTACAGTCAGTTGCGTAATAATTGCACCGATTCAGCAAGTTTGCCAAAAACTACACTACAACTGTGTAAATATCATTATGAAAAGTCCGCCAATATATTGGATTCCCTAAAAGAGGCCAGCGATTATTTGATTGTGCAGTTAGAGCGTATTTCTTTGCAAGAATTTTTAGCAGAAAGTAATTATTATAATTCACACAATATTACCCTTATTAAAATTATTCTATTTCTAACTTTTTTAACCCTCTAGATTCCAACAACAATATGAAGAAAATCAAAAATCTACAACAAGCATTAGAAATTTGTCTCAATTCGAAAACCCTCTTCGAATATGCTGTTAGTAATTTAAGTTCAGCCGAATTGACAAATTCAACAGCAAATGCTGCTTCACAGAATACCACAAGTGAAGTTGAATTTCTAAAGCATATTCTATTGTTTGAGAGTCGTTTACAATATGCCCTGAAAACTCTTATAAAACTATGGCTAAGTGGTGTAAAGGATACCAAACAACGGGCCGAATTGTACAAGAAAATGTATATGGAAACCTTGAATATTAGAAAAGTAACAGGGGCTCAGCATGCAGAGCATGGTGTTAAAGTATTGGCACAACAATTTGCAAATCTATTGGAGAGACTGACACAACTGGAACAAATACATACAAATAATATAACCAACAATAATAATAGTAATACAAGCTGCTAAGCAGCTTAATAGCTTTTTGTATTTATTTAGTTTTCTTTATATTAAGTTAAATTTTTTTTTCACTTACTTCCCTTTGCTTTAAAAGAATGTTTGGTATAATGTTTTTGTGTTTTGTAACCTTTCCCCAACCCAGAAAAAAAAAACAATTATTATTTAATTATTTATTAATAGACTTAATTAAAGCAACCAGATATTATTTACACTTAAAAACTTTAAAACTTTTCTCTTTACACAAAATAAACATTGAAAATGTTTGCTAAAATTTTAGCTGTTTGAAATACAATTTACTTTATACAATTTTTAATTATTCATTCATAAATAACATATCACAATGTTTGTTTCTTTGTTTTATATTAGACATTTTATATAATTAACCAGACTTTCGACCGCAACCACAATCATGAGCAGCTTCATTAAGAAGAACTTTTTCACCAGCAATTAAAATGATGTGTGTTACAATTATCAACACACTTAGTCCATGGTAATACTTTGAAATTGTTTAGAAAGAAAAAACAAAATAAACAAAAACAAATTTTAAACATTTGTTAACATTAACTTACTAAACTTTTTAAATCGAACATTTTATTTTGCTATTAAGACGATTTTAAATCGTTTTTGTTTTTGTTCCAGTTTATACTACGTTTTCAATGAAACTAATTATTAATTACTCTATGACATTTTAAAACACATATTTCAAATACAACCTTTTGAATTCTTATTTATTAAATAACAATATCATGTCTAAAACGTGCTTTAAATAAAGATTTTTTAATCATTTGTAAAATAGTTACAAAATAAAACAAACACTCATATTGTTTAATTTTATTTTTCATAGAATCCTTAAAGTAGGCTGTACATTTGTGAGAGAGAGATAAATGCATTTAAATCTTTTGCTCTCAAATTAATTACACTTGTAATTTAGTTAACCTCAATTTGTTTATATTTTTTGTTATTATTTTAACTACCAAATATGGGTCATTTCTTGTACTTGAAATAGTTTTTTTTTTGTTTTTCCGGTTATCTCAGCATTTTTATTTATTTCATTGCATTTCTTTTTTTTATATTTTATTCGTAGAGTTTGTGTGTTTTTGTTTATTTCAGCTATAATTAGTTTAATACTTACTTTTTTGTTTGTTTATTTAATATTTAGTTAATTATCATTGTTTTTTTGTTTTATGTATATAAATAATACCAGCTCAGCAGAATTTTTCGTTGGTCGTCGGCATTAAAAGTTAAATATTTTTATATGTAGACTCATATGTATGTATAAACAACATTCGCTAGCTTTTAATTATTATTTTTTGTTTGTTGTTTTTGTTCTTGTTTTATAATAAACAAAATAAGCACAAAGAAGTATTAAATTTTTGCTCTTAATAAGTACAAATATACAGTCTAGTATATATTAGGATGGTTGCGTATTTATGAAGTAAAATAAGTGGTCAAGGTTCCAAATTAAATTAAATGTTTATTGAGTTTTAGAATAACGGAGCCACAAGATACGAATGGCAAAAAATTTTTGTAGTTCATGACTAACACTTGATGATAACACAATTGATACTAGAACTATAGACTAGGGACTATAGACTAGACTATAGACTAGACTATAAACTAGACTATAGGACTAGACTATAGACTAGACTATAGACTAGACTATAGACTAGACTATAGACTAGACTATAGACTAGTACTATAGACTAGACTATAGACTAGACTATAGACTAGACTATAGACTAGACTATAGACTAGACCTATAGACTAGACTATAGACTAGACTATAGACTAGACTATAGACTAGACTATAGACTAGACATAGACTAGACTATAGACTAGACTATAGACTAGACTATAGACTAGACTATAGACTAGACTATAGACTAGACTATAGACTAGACTATAGACTAGACTATAGACTAGACTATAGACTAGACTATGACTAGACTATAGACTAGAACTATAGACTAGACTATAGACTAGACTATGACTAGACTAGACTATAGACTAGACTACTAGACTAGACTATAGACTAGATATAGACTAGACTATAGACTAGACTATAGACTAGACTATAGACTAGACTATAGACTAGACTATAGACTAGACTATAGACTAGACTATAGACTAGACTATAGACTAGACTATAGACTAGACTATAGACTAGACTATAGACTAGACTATAGACTAGACTATAGACTAGACTATAGACTAGACTATAGACTAGACTATAGACTAGACTATAGACTAGACTATAGACTAGACTATAGACTAGACTATAGACTAGACTATAGACTAGACTATAGACTAGACTATAGACTAGACTATAGACTAGACTATAGACTAGACTATAGACTAGACTATAGACTAGACTATAGACTAGACTATAGACTAGACTATAGACTAGACTATAGACTAGACTATAGACTAGACTATAGACTAGACTATAGACTAGACTATAGACTAGACTATAGACTAGACTATAGACTAGACTATAGACTAGACTATAGACTAGACTATAGACTAGACTATAGACTAGACTATAGACTAGACTATAGACTAGACTATAGACTAGACTATAGACTAGACTATAGACTAGACTATAGACTAGACTATAGACTAGACTATAGACTAGACTATAGACTAGACTATAGACTAGACTATAGACTAGACTATAGACTAGACTATAGACTAGACTATAGACTAGACTATAGACTAGACTATAGACTAGACTATAGACTAGACTATAGACTAGACTATAGAGACTATAGACTAGACTATAGACTAGACTGTAGACTAGACTATAGACTAGACTAGAGACTAGACTATAGACTATAGACTAGACTATAGACTAGACTATAGACTAGACTATAGACTAGACTATAGACTAGACTATAGACTAGACTATAGACTAGACTATAGACTAGTCTCTAGACTAGACTCTAGAATAGACTATAGACTAGTTCTAGAAGGTCTATTTGTTCCATAAAAGTAAAACCAATGTTTGTTATTTCAAACAAAATTAAAATTAATTCCAGGAATGTATTTATTTTACTATAAATTCAAGTCATAGCATGATTAAAAACAAATTTTATGAATTAAAATTCACATTCATTAATAATCCTTTTTGGGATTTTGAATGCTACACCGTATCCAGATATATATTACAACTATTTCGAATTTGAAATTTTTATAAAAAATAGAGTATTATATGACATGTTTTCCATAACACTGTTATAAAAGAAAAGGCGAAGTTATTATTACGTTTAAAGCATTTTTAATTTCGAATGCACTTTTACAACAATACAAACATAAACAATATTCTATTAGTTTGCTAACAGTAATTTGCTATAGGAAATAGTGTAAAACTTAAAATATAGTTTTTTGTAATTTGTAATAGAAATCCCTCCCTAAGCCCCTTTTATATAGTTAAATAAAAACCAACAACTGCATTATTCACATGTTACACGTTTACACACCAAATAATTATTACGTATAACTTATTAATTGTGTGTATGTAACTGTTGTTTTCAATTCAAAATTCGTAAAAAAAGAACGAACTATTTTGAAACCATTATAAAGACCTTAAAACAGTGGTTGAACTTAACCTTTGTAAAAAAAAATCCATGTTAATGGGATGACATTTTGGATTAATTTTTAGTTATTGTCACGTAGGAAATGGAATGAGAATAGTTTGTTGGCCTGTAAATGCATGTAATTCAATTATGAACTATAAAAGCAACGTTTGGAGTAAAAATGACAACATTATTCACCTAAAATTCAATAACAAAGTTAATAGAATGTTATATAAGGTCCTTGTAAGTAGGAGGAATATTTTGAAGAGAAACATTCCCTTAAAGCTGTCTGTTATTATTTTGTAGATTTCCTGTGCTTTGTTTGTGGCAGCACAGGCTGGCTATTCTTCCGCCGGTTATGGTGGGCAAAAATCATCCATTGCCGGCTTTGCTGCCCAATTACAACCGGCAGTTACCCTTACTGTATTGCCCTCCTATGGAGGTGGTTATGGTAGTGCTCCCGCTTATGGTGCCGCTCCTGCTTATGGTGCTGCTAAAGGCGCTAGCAGCTATGGTTCCGTTGTAATCCCAGTAAGTGGTGGCTATGCCAGTGGTGCTGGCGGTGTAGATGCTGAAGCTTTGCGTTTGGCCAAATTAGTTTTTGCTTTACCTTCGGCTGGTGGCCCTAATGAAGCCATTCTCAATATTCCCCAGTACTCTACCACCACCTATACAGCTCCTGCTGTTGTTCTAGCCTCTGGTAATTATGGTAGTAATGCTGTTAGTGGCGCATCCGCTGCTGCTGCAGCTGCTAATGTTAAATCAGCCAGCTCTGGCTATGGTCCAGCTCCTGCTCCCGCCTCTTCTGCTGGTTCTGGTTATGGTCCAGCACCTGCTGCTTCCTATTAAACTGTGATATTGACTTTTATGCATTCTGCATAAATAGTTGTTTACTTCTTTTTTTGGAGGAACAATGATTTCAGTGCGGTTTAAATAAAGTACAAAAGTCAACATTTTTTCTATGAATTCCTTTGGTGTTTTTAGTTTATTTTTAGATTTAACAGAGGGTACGGTATCTCTTGTATAGAAAAAGTACTATTAGATCCCTTTAGGGCATTTTCAGTTCTTATTTTATGATCAGGATCGTGCAAGTGAAATTTTTTTGAACAACGAAAAAGTTCCTACAAGTTCCCCATTCTGGATTCTCAATGTTCAATTTTATGTTTTTGGATCAAATTCAAGTATTCAGGTGATTCGGTTAAATGCCGTATAGAATGAAAAACATACAATTCGAAGGTCAAAAAAGTACCAAATATTCGTCTTATAGATTCCCATTCATTCAGGATCCTGCATGTCCAATTTTATGCTTCTATATTAAATATTCTAGAAATTTATGACATACCATTTGAAGATCGAAAAAGCTCCAAAAAGTTCTCAATTGCTCAGGACCCTACAGTTTAAATTCGATATTTCTGGGTTAAATCAAGGAGTGCCATTTGAAAAACGAAAATTAAGAAAATCATGTTTAAAAAAGTACTATTTTTTAAAAATTGATTCAATGAGTTTGAATAAAACAAAATTTTCTGTTTTCACTTTTTTGGTAGATCTTTCTACCCATTGAAATAACAAAGATATTATTTCGGAAATGTCTTCCAAAATCTGAGTTTTGAATAAAAGTGCCCCCTATGTAAACTTTATACATACATATGTATTTAAGGAACACACATTTCCTTTCAATATCTTCAATAGTTTCCGAGGTGCCGAGTTATTTCCATGGTTTAGAAACCAATGTTTGTCAATAAATAGAAAATGTTAAGTACAAATCATTGTAAGTACGATGTTTACGCCATTAAACGTCAGAATTGGTAAAATGTACCAAATATAAATACAATTTGTGTACAAAATTTAAATAAATGTTTTTCATAAACTACTCGACCCAAGAATCTGACATGAACATCGTTCATGCATGCGTTCATATAAATGTTTAATGAATTATTATTTATGAAGTTTATTTATGGTCGCGCTGCAATATTTTTTTTCGTATAAT